CTTTGGGTATATGCCCAAGAGTGGGATGGCTGGGTCTTGAGGTAGTTCGATTCCTAATTTTCTGAGAAACCGCCATACTGATTTCCATAGTGCTGACTCATTTTTTAATGGCAATTTTCATTAGAGTTTTCCTTTTTAGCCTTTTAAAATACATATCATTTATCTATAGCCAAGTGGCATATCTTCATCAGTGTCCCTCCTGGGTTCTCTTCAGGGATCTTTGTATTGAAAAAAGATTACCATTTATAGGTAAAACTTGTTGCAAAAATAAAATTAGAGAACTTTAACCCATCAAGATTTAAAATGTCTAGGACTGGAGATATAGCTCAGTTGTATAGTACTTACCTAGTGGGTGTAAGGTCCTAACCTGAGTCTTGGATTATACCAAGCTAAAATCTTGTTTTATGTCCATTTTGTTTACAGTCTAGAAAACTTAATTCAATGAGATGTATAAACTTGCTCAATATAACATAACTCAGTGGTCAAACAGTAACTTTTCTGTTTTGAACCATATTGAATGGTTTTATGTCAACTTGAAACAAACTAGAGCCATCAGTTAGTAGGGAATCATAATAAAGGAAATGTCTCTAAGAGGGGTGGTAGTGGTGCACCCCTTTAATCTCAGCACTTAGGAGGCAGAGGCAGGTGGATCTCTGAGTTCAATGCCAGCCTGGTCTGCAGAGCATGTTCCAGGACAGTCAGTGCTACACAGAGAAAAACCAAAAAAAGACCTTTGTCGAACAAAAGGACTTAGGCTTCCTGATGGGGGAAAAACAAGAACAATTCTAAGAAAATTTCATTGTGGTATTGGGAGATTTATTTGGGAGAAAAACATTGACAGGACGAGAGAACTAGGAGTTGCAGTATTAGAGAGACTAGTCGTGAGAGCGTCTGCTACGGTAATGTGTAAGGACCCTGAGTTGGTATTTAATGGAATTTTACTCTTTGGTTTGGTTTCATTTTTTTGAGTCAGGGTCTTTGTTTAGCTCTGACTGTCCTGGAACTTGCTATGTAGAGCAGTCTGGCCTAAACTCGGAGATTCTCTTAACTCCACCTCTGCCTCGGCCTCTCAAATGCTGAGCATTGGCTGCTCTTTCAGAGGTCCTGATCAATTCCCAGCAACCACATGGTGGATCAACAAACCATCTATAATAGGTTCTGATGCCCTCTTCGGGCCTGTAGGTATATATGCAGAGCACTCATACGTTAAAAAATACAACTAAATAAAACTAGAAAAAGAAACATTTTTTAAAAGGTGTGTGCTACCATGTGTGTGTATATATATAATAAATATATATTCAAGTTTATTTTTTAACTTGTGTGTCTTGTGTGGACATTGAAAGTTGTGGATGCAGGTGTTGGTGGAGTCTGGCAGAGGGTGCCAGATCCCCTGGAGCTAGAGTTACATGCAGTTGTGAGCCTCTTGATACGAATGCTGGAAACTGAACTCAGGTCTTAAATAAGAGACACTCCGAACTGCCAAGTAATCTCTCCAGCCTAAATTTTGTTATTTTAAATTTAAAGAAATCTTAGGCGCCTTTTTTTTTTTTTTTTTTTTTTTTTTTGTTTTTTTTTTTTTTTTTTGTTTTTTTTTTTTTTTTTTTTTTTTTTTTTTTGGTGGTTTTTTTTTTTTGGTTTTTCTAGACAGGTTTCTCAGTGTAGTTTTGGTGCCTGTCCTGGATCTTGCTCTGTAAACCAGGCTGGCCTCAAACTCACAGAGATCTGCCTGGCTCTGTCTTCCTCATGCTGGGATTAAAGGCGTGTGCCACCACTGCCCGGCGAGCTTAGGCTGTTTTTGTTGTGAGTGGAGAGTAGCATAAAATGAGCACAATTACTGCTATCAAATTCTATAGTTTCCATCAAACTCCACAAAGAAGTAGAATTTAACATAGTGGTTAACAGGAAAACAGAATGAGTATCACATGAATGGTTCTAAAAATTTTTATCAGTGCTGTTAGTTCAGTAAAATTGAAATAACCTCTTTTCTGTCTCTTACAGAGTCTTTGTTGTGGATAAATAATTCGGTGAGAAGATTGGTGAGCTGTATGGACTCGTGCTTTACTAGGCTATTCGGCCATGGAAGCTCATCTCACAGATGTGGATTCTTCAGTCAGTGCATCTAGAAACTCACCTGTGGAAGATGATGATGTTGTGTTCATTGAATCAATACAGCCTCCAGTTTGTGCTCCAGCAATAGCTGAGGAAAGAGACTTTGTATTTGCATCTTCAAAACATGAAAATCCACAAGGAAATTATTCCATAATTCCTTCTCCTTTAAAAGATTTGACTTCTCAGAAGGGAAGTATATCTGAAACAATTGTTATTGAGGATGAAGAGGACCCAGAAACAGATGGAGGGGAGGAGAAAAATTCTACCAAGTTTACTGAATGGGGACCTCCTGGAAACAAAAATAGTACCAAAAATTTGGATTTCTTCCTTTCCAGTCTATCAAGAAGTAAGGTAAATTCAGGAGTGGGTATTAATGGTATCACTACAGAATTGACTGTAATAATACTAACGTTAACAACTTTAGAAGCAGGTGTAAGACCTGAATGCTAGGCGAGATAGGAACTTAATGATTGATTGTACATCACTGTAGAGTACCAACTTGGTATATGTCAGTCATGGATGTAGTGTTAATGTACAAACATACACCTCATCTTTAACTTCACAGACCAAGACTGGAGTAGGACCTTTTAATCCTGGTAGGATGGATGTAGCAGACACACTTCACAGTGGAAGATTTCCAGCACATTACAATCCTGGTAAGCAGTAAGTTCTATTGTTTGCTTTGTATTAAGTACATTGAGGTTTCTGTGTGAGTCTGTACACACGTGCCTGGAGGCCGGAGCTCTCTTCCCCTGTTGGTCTCTGTCTTGTTTTTTGAAATTGTTTTGTTTTTCTAACTGACATTGAAGCTCACTCAGCTAGATTCGTTACCTGGCAAGCCCCAGGGACCTTTTCTGTCTTCCCAACACTGGGATTATAAATGCATGCTCTTTGTTTTTATCTGTCTAATCCTGGCCATCCTGGAACTCGCTCTAAGGACCAGATTGGCCTCAAACTCACAGAGACTTTTTTTTTCCTATTTTAACCTTAAAAAGAAAATGTCTTTAAGGTTCTCACTCTGTAATCATGGCGGCCCTGAGACTCATTATGTAGATCAGGCTGGCCTCAGACTCACAGAGATCCTGAGTCTCCTGAGTGCAGGGGTCAAAAGTATGTGCCACCATTACTGGTTTAACTTTAAAAACAAAAGCTAGATTAAATACATTAAGAGTGAGTGAGTGTGTCTGTGTGTGTGTGCGCGCGCATGTGTGCACGTGTGCGCACGTGTTACAGCTTGTGTAGTGGACAGGAGGACAACTTGCAGGGGTCAGTTCTCTCCTACCGTGTGGGATCTAAGGAGCCAGCTTGGGTTGTCTGGTGTGGCCACAAGTGATGTCACCGCTATGCCACCTTATTAGCCTGCCATTTGTTTGCATTGTTCTCTTCCAGTTGTTTGTTTTAGTTTCACGTGGATACTGGAGATCGCTCTCGGTCTTCAGGACTGCACAGTGAGAGAAGAAGCATGTTACTAGATAGGCCATCTCCTCAGCTCCCATAGCTGTTCTTTTTAGAACTCACATCTGTTACATTCTATATCAAATAACTGATTGGCTTTCATATTAAATAATGTTACTTAATACGTTTGAAGTCTTTTGTGTCTGCAATTTGGAGAGGGAAATTTTTTTTTAATCAAAAATAATTTATGTCCTATCTGTTTTTAGGGCTGAATCAATGACTTTGTGGTAGGGGGACTTGGAGACAGGGTTTTTCTGTGTAGCTTCGGAGCCTGTCCTGGATCTTGCTCTATAGACCAGGCTGGCCTCTTAAAGTCTTCTTAAATTTAGATATGTCCTAATATGTATTTTTATTTATTCCATGACTTTTACTTATGTGTTTCATTTTTAAGATTCTTGGATCTCCCAGTCAGCATCATTTCCTCGTAACCAGAAACAACAAGGGGTGGATTCTTCATCACCAGTGGCCTCACTTCCTAAACAGATATTCCAGCCTTCTGCCCAACAACAACCCACTAAACCAGTTAAAGTCACGTGTGCAAACTGCAAAAAACCTCTACAGAAGGGGCAGACAGTTTATCAACGAAAAGGATCAGCTCACCTCTTTTGTACAACTACCTGCCTTTCTTCTTTCTCTCACAGACGTACTCAAAAGACACAGAATGTGACATGTAAAAAGTAAGCAGACCTCAACATTTCTCCCTGTGGTTTAATGGTCCAGTATAAATAAATCCTCTGGATATAACTGTAAGCTAGACTTATGGTAGAACTTACACTGTAGTATATTGTAGTTTTAACAGAAGAATGTATGTAGGTACAGAAGTATAGTATCCTCTCAGGTGCTATGTTTGTCTTTCCCTTTTTACGTGTGGGTTTTGTTTGTTTTGATCTGTGTGTGTGTGTGTGTGTGTGTGTGTGTGTGTGTGTGTGTGTGTACGTGTACACACGTGTACGCACACATTCAGAGAATAACCCACTAAAGTTGGTCCTTTGCTTCTACAGTGTGGGTTGCAGGGATTGAACCTAGGTCATCAAGCTTGACAGTGCCCTTTCTTTTTGGACCATCTCTCCAGGCCCACTACCAACATTCTTTCAGTTTTACTTTTATGGGGCTGGAGAGATGTCTCAGTGCTTTAGAGCACCGGCTGCTCTTGGTTTTTCCAGCACCCAGGTTAACTGCAGTTAACTCCAGTCCCAGGAAATCCGCCCTCTCCTGGCCCCTGTGGGTATTGGATTGATGTGGTAAACAGACATACATGCAGGCAAAATAACTATACACACAAAATAAAAATAAAGGGAAAAAATTGTGTGTGTGTTTGTGTGTAGGTGCACGTGAGTGCAGGTGGTCCAAAGCTCAGGTGCTGCATCACCCGCAGCTGGGGTAAAAAGGTGATACCGAGCGGCCTCACACAGGCGAGGCACCAGGCTCGGGTTCTCTGTAAGAGCAGTAAATGCAACAAAGAGCCATCTGTTCAGCACCATTGGTTTTGTGTTTTCCAACCAGTGTTTTTTACAGGATTTATTTATGTGTATGGTTGTTTTGCCTGTGTTTGTGTAAGTATACTCTGTGCCCTCAGAAGCCTGAATAGGGAACTGGGTTCACTGGAATTGATGGTTGTAAGCCACCGTGTGTGTGCTAGGAACCAGCGCTGAGTCCTCTGCAAGCACTGTAGCCAGTGCTCTTTTGGGAGGGGGTTTTTCGAGACAGGGTTCCTGTGTGTCCCTGGCTGTCCCGAGACTCGCTCTGTAGCCCAGGCTGGCCTCGAACTCACAGAGATCTGCCTGGCTCTGCCTGAGTGCTGGGATCAAAGGTGTGCTCCGTCACGTCCAGTGCAGCCTGTGCCCTTAACCACTAGGCCATCTCTCCAGCCCCAGCTACTAGCATCTTTTAATCCTAGAATGCTGGGAACTTTAGTGCATTACTAGTGTTCCAAAAGAGTTCTCACTTGTATTATTTAGGAAATAGTGGAAGTAAAGCTGAGAGTGGATTTTAAAGTACAGTGATCTTAAGAAGTTCCTTTCCCCTTGTGTTTCAGAGATTGTCCTATGAAGACAACAACCATTATTCCTCCAGTGGAGTCAAGCAAGTCCTTACCAGAATTCCGTAATGCATCTCTGTCTCCCAATGAATGCTACCAGAGTCTCAGAAAAGAAGCTTTTACTAAGTCAAGATGTATAATGTGTAATAAATTAGGAGAGGTCTGGCTCTTTATACTGCTACTATTTAGACTCCTAGGAATAATGTTGAATTTTAAGTACCAGTGTAAGCTCTGTATCTACATAATGTCCATATTCTAAATTGAAAGAACTACTAAGATGTTAGAATTCTCTTTATTAAAAAGATTTACTGCTTGCTGGGTGGTGGTGGTGGTGGTGGTGCATGTCTTTAATTCTAGCACTTAGGAGGCAGAGGCAGGTGCATCCTCAATGAGTTTGAGGCCAGCCTGGTTTACAGAGTTCCAGGACAGGCAGAACTGTTACACAGAGAAACCCTGTCTCAAAAAAAAAAAAAAAAAAAAAAAAAAAGACTTATTGCTGAGTCGGTGGTACACACCTTTAATCCTAGTAGGGACAGGCAAATCTCTTAATTTGAGACCAACCTGGTCTACATATAGTGAGTTCCAGGACAGCCAAGGCTATACAATAGTGAGACCTCTCTCCCAACCCTCAAACAATTTTTATATGAAGAGATAGATATACCCCAATTTCGTGGTGTAAAATGTACGTCTGTTTCTGTGGAATTAGTTGTAGTAATTCAGTAATTTCAAGACAATGAAGGAATCAACAGATCTGCAAGAATATGTGGGACAAATAGTTTGATCCTGTTCAAGAGGAAGAGACAGACATTATTCAGGCAGTCCTTTGTTTTACATCGTCCTCAGTAACTAAATGTGATATCAATAACTTTGGGGGCATTCAAATCAAAGACAAATTTATTTCAGTTACAGCTTTAGAACCACCTCACTGCTAGACACACAGACACCATTCTAAGTATGGATAATGATTCCCTTCATCTGCCTCCTGAATATTGTAAGGAAGGATCCAAATACTGTAGGGCAGTAAATTATCTAATACTGTCTTAAGAAATTTTGTTTTCTTTTAGGTTCGCCATGAAATCAGTGTTAACAATATAACACATAAACTTTGTAGTAATAATTGCTTTAATGAATACAGATTGACTAATGGTCTAATAATGAACTGCTGTGAACAGTGTAGCAAGTATATGCCCAAGAATACTGGACACAAGGTCCTGATTACAGGTCAGCAAAAGAGATTCTGCTGCCAGAATTGTGTCAATGAATATGAAGAGGTAATGTATTGCTTCATTTGTTCCTCTGCTGTTATTTTATGTACATGGGTGTTCTTCCTGCAAGTTTGTCTGTGTATCACATCCTTGATGCCCTCAGAGGCCAGAAAAGAATTGGGTCCTCTGGAACTGGAGTTACAGACAGATGTGAGCCATCATGTGATTTCTAGGAATCAAACCTAGACCCTCTGGAAGAGCAGCCAGTGCTCTTAACTGCTTAAGTAATTTCTCCAGCCCCTAATTCTTTTTTTTACTTGTGTGTACATGTGTTTGTGTGATGCAAGTGCTTGTAAGTGTAGGAGGACAACCTGGGGTGTCTGTCCTTGCCTTGTACCTTGTTAGAGACATGATCTCATTATTTAATGTGTACACCAGGCTACCTGGCCTTCAAGCTTCTGGTGAGTCTTGATGCCATCTCCCATTGTGCTACAGGGGCACTCAGATTCACACGTATACCACCATGCTGAGCTTCTAAGTTTTAATACTTTCGATGAGGGCGCATACCTTTAATCCCAGCACTAGGGAGGCCCAACAAGTGGATCTCTGTGAGGTGGAGGCCACTTTCTTCTACCTAGCAAGTTAGACCATACAAAGCAAGACCTTGTTTCAGATATTATTAGTTTTTTCTTTAACAACTTCATAAATGAATATAATGCATATATGTAATATCTTTTCATTACTCTCATTCCCTTATTTCCACCTTATCAGTGTCCCCTGCCCCTCCAAATTCCTTTCCTACATTCATATTTGTATTAACTTTTTTGTTACCGTGACGAAACACCATGACTAAGGCAACTTACAGGAGAAAGGGCTTACTTGGGGTTCACTATTCCAGAGGATAATAGTTCATGAGGGTGAAGTGGAGGCAGCTGGAGCTGAGTGCTCACATCTGATTCACAAACAGGAAGCTGAGAGAAGACACTGAAAATGGCAGGAGTATTAAAACCTCAAAGCCTTCTTGTACCTAGAGTTTTCCGGCCTTGCCCACAGTCAGGACAAATCTCTGTCACCCGCCAGTCCCACATCCGCTCAGACCCAACCAAGTAAACACAAAGACTTATATTGCTTACAAACTGTATGTCCGTGGCAGGCTTCTTGTTAACTGTTCTTATATCTTAAAGTAATGCATTTCTACAAATCTATACCTTGCCACGTGGCTCGTGGCTTACCAGCATCTTCACATGCTGCTTGTCCTGGCAGTGGCTGGCAGCATCTCCTTCTGCCTTCCTGTTCTTTTATTTCTCCTCTGTTAGTCCCGCCTATACTTCCTGCCTAGCCACGACCAATCAGGTTTTATTTATTGACCAATCAGAGCAACTTGACATACAGACCATCCCCCAGTACAGCCAAGTGCAGACCATCTCAGACACCTGTACTCAGGCCCATGGTCCTAATCATCCTCTATGCAAACCTGCTGGGTAACGCCACAAGGAACCCAAGAAGGGCTCCCACAGGACATACATTAACATCCCACAGCACCTTCTTGCAGTGATGACTTCCTCCAGCAGGGCCACACCTCCTAATTGGACCCCAAACAGCCACCAACTAGGGACAACTATTCACATGCCTGAGACTTAGAGTGGTTATCTCATTCAAACCACCACAGTGTCTTTGTTTGTTTTATAACTCACTGAGTTTAACTAGGGCTGCCTTTGTAACCATGTGTCTGGAACAGGACACCTAATGTTGTTCTGTGACTGCACATGCTCAAGAGAGCATACATCTACATACATATGTGCACATGTACATACACCACATATAAACACATGTAAAAAAAATAACATGAGATTTGCACATAGGGTATTAATTGAAGAGAAGAAAGTAAGATGGGGAAATACATGTAATCAAAATAGGCCGCAGCTGTGTGTATCCAGATCTTGACTCGTTTCAAAGTAATCAGCAGGTCTTCAGAGAAGAGCAGAGGACTTCCCTGGTATACACACAGTCCTAGGTTAAGTCCCTGATGGCACCCACAACATCAACAAAAATTTTTTAATATTGTTATTAGTTGCTTATCGCTGAATAACGTGTAGTCATAAAATATAAAGCTATTCTTCTTTTAATAGGGAGCTGGAAAATGGCTCAGTGGTAAAGAGTACTTGCTACTTTTCCAGAGGACTCAAGTTCAGTTCCCAGCACCCATGTCAGGTGGACACTATCTCCTGCAACTCAAGCACCAAGAGATCTGACATCTTGCACTACCCCCAGCCCCATAAACAAAAACAAAAATTAAGAAAATACTTGTTATATATAATATATACGAAATTCATAGTTATTCTAGTGTACAGGTAATGTATGTGTGTGAGTGCAGGCAAACACCATGACCCATGTGCACAGGTCAGAGGTCACTTTGTGAAGTCAGTTCCAGGGGTCAACTCAGGTCATCATGCTCACAAAGCAACTGCATTTACTGGCTGTGAAATTTCAGTGGCCCCAAAATCTAAATATACTCTTGATGTAAGCCAGGGATTTGGGGAATGTTTCTTCCTGCCAGTGCTTTAGGGGTGCTGTTGGCATCTAGTGGATAGATACATGCTAGGTATGCTCTTCAACATCCTGTTTGTACATGACAGTCCCCAAGGCATCCTGTGATTGACATGTTGCTGGGTGATGTGAATGTGAATCTGTGAGAGGAAGGAAAGCTAAATTCCCATCTTCCTTATTGAGAAGTCTTGATACAGGTCTTTTGGTAAATGCCTTTAAAATCCCAGCACTCAAGAGGCAAAGGCAGGTGGCTCTTAGTGAGTTCAAAGCCAGCCTGGTTTGCATAGTGAGTTCCAGGACAGCCAGGGCTTTGTAGATTAGACCCTGTCTCAAAAAGGGAGCAACAAAACAAGTCACTTGACGATTCTTATATTAGGAAAAATAATTAATAAATGATAATCCAAGATTTGTAAATGGATTGGTGTGTAGCTTGTAAGTGCTCACCTATCATACATAAAGTACCTCATAAACACTGGCATATAGGGACATTCCTATATTCCTGGCACTCAGGAGGTAGAAACTGGAGGATCAAAAGTCCAGGGTCAGGCCAGAGAGATGGCTCAGTGGATAAAGGCACTTGCCACCAAGTCTGACAACTTGAGTTCAATCCCATAGCCCACATGGGAGACAACTGTGTACACATATCTACCCCAAATAAGAAAAGTTCAGGGGCTGGAGAGATAGCTCAGAGGTTAAGAGCACTGACTGCTCTTCCAGAGGTCCTGAGTTCAATTCCCAGCAACCACATGGTGGCTCACAACCATCTGTAATGAGATTTG